GATGTGCCCACAGGGTGGCTGACAGAAAGGGAGATGGAGTGACTTTCCCAAGGCTGAGAGCTGGAGCGTGCTCCCCAGCATACGAATCTAGCATCCTCCCCTCAGATTTCTGTCTGGTGCTAAGCCTCCATGCCTGAAAGTGCCCCAGTTCTCAGGTCTCCACTTCTGCAAGGAGCTATGCACTTCTTGACAAGTGTAGACACTCCTCATTCTCATGACTTCACTTGGCTCACCCATGTTTTGCCTCCTGCTATACATTTTACCAACACCTGAAATGACAGGAATACTAAGTTAACATTGTGACATTTGAAGTATGCTCTTGGGGTAGAGAAAGAGAAGAATTGAGTACTGTTGTTAAATCTGCGATTGTTTAAAGACCCAGTCTGACATTCTTTCCTTAGCCAAGGGCCTCAGTTATAATGAAACTGTGATAAATGTGTCTAAATTAGGCATGCAACTAGGGATTAGACAGGGGCAGAAATTGTTTGGCATTAAAATGACTGTGGAAAAACTTCTGTTTCACACATGTAAACGGTTTCTCAGTTAAAACTCTCGGTTAAACCTGGGGAGAAGAAAACAAGTATGCATTCATGCAATTTATCTCTTCCATGGTATATGCCAAGGTCCCCAAGTCAGTGTTTGCTTTGCTAATGGCATCTCTACAGCAGTTCATTTACTTCCCTTATATGGCCTTTACATTCACTCCCTGAGCTGCTGCCATTCTGCATTCCCTCATGGAAACTGTACGCTGAATTCTGCACCTCTCCTGAAGCATCTTATCTTGCCAACTGTCTCTGAATGCCCCCACAAGCTGGCTGCATGACCTAGTCACTTGTAGAGAAATAAACTTTATTTCACAATCCCTTTTCTGTCAGAGAAGTTTTGTTTTGATTAGAAACAAATTAAACACATTGTGCGTATAAGTTAACATCCAAATTCTTATTCCATTTTCTTCATAATGTTTACAACTCAACATGCTTCAGCTGTATCAACATTTGCTGCCCCTTTCAGGGAACATTGTGCTTAGAAGTATTTTCACTGGAAAACTTAGCTATTTCAATCCACATCTAACCTGTCTGAAAGAAAAAGGGAGTTACTACATAGTGCTTCAGGATCCACAGTCTCTCTTGTAACCACAAAAGCACAGAGACCTTCTCAGAGCAGAGCGATAACAAAAGTCCTGTTCCCCAGGGTCTTGTCTATACTGAAATAGCAGCTGGTTTTAAAATTGGTTCTGGTGTTTTGAAATTTAAGAGAAACCGCTTTTAAGAAAGCTTCAGAGTTGGTCGAGGGAACCTGAGCTACTGCTGGAATCACTGGAAGTTGGACTGGATGAAACCCCCATGAATACGCTGTCAGAAAACTACTCTAGCAGGGAGATGGGAAAATATGCTTATAGATTTTACCATTTCTTTTCTCCCCGATCCATTGACTAGGCTGCTGTTACAGCTGGGGCCCTACAGACTCAATGGAGCTAATAAGCGCATCAGAATAAAAGAGGGAAAATCCTGTCACTGTACCTAAATCAATCCCGGCTAATATACACATCACAGGCTTGGCCACAGACTCCTTCATTACAGCATATCGTGTAAGACAATCCATTGTGATCTAAAATGCCATAGGGGAGTACATATGTTCCTGAACCCTGAGGAAAATTAAGCAGCTAGTGAAGCTCCATCTCATTCTTCAGTCTTTGACAAGAAAAAGAAACAAGACATTTTTATCTTGCAGGCCACCATCTGGTTTTCTCTTGTGTGGTCCACAGGAGAGTGATCATGCCGACGTGGTTCCGAGCATCTTACAAAACTGGATCTTCAGGTCATGTCTGTACTCGATTTTAAATGAAAAAGAAAGGTGTAGGCACAACAATAGACTTGAGGCTATGTACTGGGAGCAACAGAAAGTCAACCCAATTATTCAAATACAGTCAGTGAAAACCAAACAGACAAGTACTGTTAGGGAAATCATCTGATAATATATTTGCCTGAAATTATGTCCAATCTGCAGCATCTGGAAAAAAAGCCATCAACTAAACAGGCAGAAAGAGAGAAACCCGAGTCTAACACCAGTAAATTTCTCAGAATAAGGTAAAAAAAAAAAATCAGGTCAGTACATCCTAATATATCCACATGGCATCTCAAGTCAGACACATTGCGTGTTTTCTACCGTGGGTGGAACTAGACTCCCAGGATTTTGGGCTGTCACACCTAAACTTGAATCCTGGCCTAAAAACTTAGCTCTAAACAAAAGATCCTCTCTCCACTTCCATTTCAATACTATATTATGATTGGTACTTTTTTTTAGAGGTCCCCATGGTGGTAAATTTTATAAATCCTATTACTGACAGTTCATGAACAGAACTTAACACATTTCTGAAGGACAGTTTTCTTACTAGATATAATGCTGTTGTTGCTAATACCAGTCTTTTAATCTCTGGATGCACACACAAATAACATGTCAGTGTATAACGATGTATAACTATAATCAGTATATAAAAAGGGAAGCATCCTTTATTATTTCCGATAAAGCCTCCTTATGTTGTTTCATCTTTATAAGGTTATTACTTATTATCTATTATATAAAAGCCACCAGGTTGTCTGCGTTTTTCAAGGGTCCAAAATATTAGTAGCTACAGCAAATCAAGGTACGGATTATCCCTTTTGTGTCCTGTCGCTGTGTCCTGTTGCTGACAAGCCTGGTGGCTGTGGGAGAGGCCGAAGAGGTTTAGTCTGCACCAGCCCCGCAGCTGAAGGAAGGAATTCCAGTTCAACCCTTGCAAACACCACCAAGGTGATGGAGCTCTGGGCTGACAGGTCCCAGACCCATCCTCCTTCGCCAGAGAATTGGTTTAGTCCTGCACAAACTCAGGAAGAACTTGTGGATGATTTCAATCCTAAATTTTCACTGTTCCCAAGTGGACTTGGAAAAATAAGGAACATAAGGATAATGAGTGATTTCCCAATAAGAAATGCTCATCTACTAGCAGCTTGTTTTCTGTGCATATAGACCCAGTACAAATAATTTAATCGTGGCATCTCATTTACTAGGGGAACACCTGCCTATCTTCCCTGGACGCTGCTAAAGAAAGAATCCAGGGAATATACAAAAAGCAGGTCTTACCACCACGCTCTTTTGCACTTTGTGGCGTGCACGTTCGGCAAAATGAGATTGTTTAATGACGCATGCAACAGTTAAGAAGATTTTTATGTTCCATTTAAAGCCTCAGTTAGGGATCGGCTTTCAGTTGCGAGTCAAATTTTCAAAGCAGGGCCAGAAGCGCGCTAGTCCCCAGCGGGCTGGGCTGGGCTGGGCTCGGCGGAGGCGGGAGCCGAGCTCTGCGCTGCTCGACAGTGACACTCGCTGGGCGGCCGGGACAGCGAGCGCGGGAAGGGCGGAGAGGCCGGCCTGGCAGCACAGGGGGGCTTCGCACCTCCCGGGGCCCTGGGGAAGTGGTACGGGTTCAGTCCATGCCCCCTGCCCGCTGCGTGTGATGCGGGCTGCAGACGGGGCAGGGCGTGTGCGTGAAAAGGGGGGGCAGGGAGGAGAGCTTGTTTCTGTGCTCCACAAAATATGTGTGATTCATAACCACCTTGTGCCACGACCCTGAGGTTCATGAGATACATTTGCAGAACATGCAATGGTGACTTCGATGGCACAGTTTGCGTAAGCGGTGTGTGTCTGTGAACACGGTGCAAAGCACCGTATTGTTCCTCCCCATGAGGCTTTTGCCGCAGAACTGGAGCTGAGCTGCCTCTTGCCCTGAGCTCCGGCAGTCATTTGCATCTAGGTCACCATATTTGATCACATTCCCAAGAATGAGGCTAATGACTTCTGGGGTTTTTAAAAAGGAAAGATGAAAATCCTCTTCTTGGGGACAAAGGCCAATTCATTTTACAAGTGGAAGCTCATTTCCTCCCCATCATACCCTGAGGTTCATACAGATCTCAGGCACTCCGTGAAGCTGAAACCTCTGAAATCTTGCATGGATTCATTCATTCATGGAAAAATCGTAATGCCAACTCTTGTCAGCTGAAACCCAAACAGTACCCACTTCCCAGTGTATCCATGTCCGAAACATGTTCTCAGTGGGGGAAAAAAACAAGCTCATTTTTTAAAGCTCTCTAAAAGGCTTGTCATGTATATATCATTCATATGCCTCCATGGTATGCATTTATGTATTACATGTATATACCTATAGTTCCACATATTAAAAATACTGCATAGGGAGTACCTGAGACCCAGACTGGACTGTAGAGCCCAGGCTACCTACCCTGCACTGTGTGGGGAGGGATAGTCACCTCTTCAGCCTCAGTGGGTTGAATCATGCCCTGTGCTCCCAGGGAAGCTGCAGCAAGCTGATGAGAGGGGCATCTTGGTCTCGGTGTCCGCATTAATCTTTTGCTTTGGCCTGTGTTACCCTTCTAAATTACAGGTTGTTCTTCCTATGTAATTCAAATGCATTGTTTCCCGTTTCCACCAAAAACTGCATGCTCTGGGAAGAGCTCTTAAATGCACGTAAAAGGTTTCTCTCTGTATTATGTCATAGCAAAATAAGCTAGTCATAGATTTTGCTTCTGTAATGAAACTTCATATTTCAATATTCCTTTTCCCGATGAAAAAGCTCATTAGCAAGGTTGTTACAGTTGCCACTTATGAGGGGGAAGATAGTAATTCCATTAATATGCTCACAGGAACTTCATTTATATTACCTCTTAACCTTTACAAGGATATTATCATTTCAATAATTAATTGCTTTTTGCCATTTCATTTGCAGTTTACCATTTTCAAGGGAAATTACCCATTAAACAGAGGACTCTTTTTTTAAAAAAAATCCTTCACTCAAATATACACCATCAGCTGTCCTTAGAGAAGCTAGATATTTGCTAAGCCACTTTCACATTTGAGAAAAGAAGACTCTGTGGTAGCTCTGCGTATTAAAGAACTGCCCATCACTTGGGGCTTAACCACCTGGAGGAAAATGAGGCAGAATAGGACTGAGATGGTGATGAGGATGGTTTTAATTATTATTCTCTTCCTCCAAATTCAGGAAGACAATGCATCCTTCCTCTCTGACGCAGTGAGAATTGTCTTTCCTCTTTCTTCACAACCATCTTGTTTCTTCAGCTGAAGATAATTTATGCTGCAATACCCATACATGAGTGCTTCTGTTAACTTCAGTGACTGAAAAAAGAAAGGAACTTTGGCTCAATATTGTAAAACACAGAAACTGTGGCCATAAATCACCAAGCACTTAAGCACATCTTCAAGACAGTGTCCAACACTTTGGAGAATGGAACTCACACATATTCCTGCTCATGCTCAAGTCTCTGATAAAACAACTACTCATTTCAAGAAATCAGACACAAGCCGATATCCCTGTGGTGGTACACTGGCATAATATCTCCACTACTGATAATAGAAATTGTGTCCAAATCCCATCACACTAAAAGAAAATTGGATTAATATTGGTATCTGAGAAGGTGAGTAATGCATCACAAGTAGGCATATCTGACAGAGTGAAACACATACCTCTGAGAGATGGATTTGCGTGGGAAGATGGAGAAAAGGTGACAAAATGTATGAAGAAAGGAGACATAGGAGAAGAGGAAACAGAAGAAGCAGGTATGAACTAGACTGCACCATTGATTTATGAATGAAAATTTAAGTTTTTCTGATTCAGGTGCAAAAATTGAACTAGCCCTTGGGCAGTTCTGCTTTTGCAACTGGCAAGTCCATGATGTGTCACACAAAATGATGTGTGTCTGGATGATATGTCACATGCCTACAGGCACCAAGTGGATCATTTTACTGTGAAAATAAGACATTTTATTTATTCAGTTGTAAAATCAAACATCCTGAGGTTTTTACCCCCTTTCCCTTGAGTATATGGAGAGTCTGGGGTTACACCAGCATTCAAATATTGTATTTCATTTCTGCAGCTGGGCATACTCTTAGTATTATTTGCAAAGAAGTCAAAAGCCACAGTCAGACCAATGGGGATTAAAAACAAATGGTCAATGGTCCATCATACAAATTTTCTATGCAGACAGTGGAGACTAGGTAGGAATCATAGGATGAATTGCCTTCTGAAATTGCCTTTCTTTCACTCCTCTGATAGGATAGGATGTGGACTTCACCTCTTAACTTTTAGATAGCAGAAGACTGGTGAGATGTATCCCACCATAAGTACTTAATGTTGTCTTCAAGTCTTCAGGTATCCAAGTTGAAGAGAGCAAGAAGAGATTCATATCACTTAATATTCAGAGCTTCCTATATCAGCAGTGGATCAGTAGTCACACTGCTAGTAAAGCAGCAAAATAATCTGCTTTTTGACCAGTGAAAGGAAAGCCTAGCTCCATGCCAGCATGGGCATTTCTTGCCATAAGATTTCCACAGCTAGGCACAAATATTGCTTGAAGACAATCTGCTAATTTCTGTCAGTTAGCACTGCAATCTGCAGTCTGGTTAAGGCACCTGATGATTCTCTTTACAGTGTTACTGCGCCTATATTACTAGTATTCTAGACTTTATCACATAGAAGGCCATGTATGGGACAGAAGTAGAAAGAAGCCACTAATCACCACGATTAATATTAAAATATCCTCTTAAAACCTACAGATTGGCAGTTCACTCAACATGACATTTGCTTTTTGAAAGGCATGTGCTCTGCATGCACAACATTATTTTAAGGTGTCATTGTTTAAGGGAAGTTGACAGTGATGGGTGACGTATAAACAAGCTGATGATATTCCGAACAGAGTTCTACCTGCTTGGACAAGAAAGTCCTTGCTAATTTGCATGCAAAAGGAAGCTTGGGGCCTATTCTGTGGAACTTGATAGTCTCTTGTAATTAATACTGTAATTGGAGGTTGCTGGAAGTGCTCCTTGAGTTCCTGCCAGGGAATGTGAGTGCTTCACAAAGCTGTTGATGCCGTGCTGTACACCAGCCGAACCAACCTACTCGGCTGCAGTAGATGCTGACACAGGACTCCTGCTTTGGCAAAACTCTTATCTGAGCAGCTAAATGCACAGCACTTTTTCCTTCCAATGTAATCACAGAGTGACATCAGTAACTACCCAGCCATCTGACAGCCGCATCATCCTGGGTGGCAAGGCTGAGCTGTCCTCCCTCTGCATTTCAGAGCAGGCAGCCCATCACCATACTCCCCACTGCTGTTCTGCAGCCACCCGGCAGGGTCCAGAACAAGGGAGGTTGCTACCACTCTGCCTGTTCTTGGCAGAGCTGCCCAGACTCACTCCAGTCTAACAATTTCACGTTGCAAATGGATAAATATGCACCAGAGATGTGGAAGTTTAGAATCAAGTTTGCTTCCTGCGACCTTTGCCTTCCCTTGAGGACATAATTATTGGTTTCCAGTGCATCAGTCATAGGGATGTCAAACCTGTAATAATGCTATGAAGGCAGAAATGACCACCAGAGAGGGATGGCAGGTAATTTGAGCGAGAAACTGCAGGCTTAAACATATTTCTTCTGAAGGTGAGTAGATCTTTGCAGAGAAATTGTTTGCAACTCATCTGCAGTGACTGCAGCCAGTGTAGCCATTAGGTAATAAGTTATTTTTATCCACTGCAGCTCTCCAGCATCTCGGAGGGTGACGGCATCTTGCCAAGGTTTTGGAAGGGCTGCATGAGCTGACACACAAAGATGAATGGTTGATACAAGCCCAGAGGACACTTCTGAGTCAACTTTACAGAGGGAATCAAATCCAAATATACCAGGTAGCTCCACATTGTAGTTGTTTTGCTTCCCTCCAACAGATGTCAGAGAGTGTGACTTCTGGGATTTTGGTAACTTTTACTTTTCCTGCTGTAGCAATAAAGTTTTATTAAATTCACCCAAACAGATTTGTTATGAGTACTAGGGAAACCTGTTTATAACACCCATACATGTAAAACTAGGTTGATGTTCTTTACCGTGAATAAAGGTGGTGAGGCACTGGCACAGGTTGCCCAGAGAAGCTGTGGCTGCCCCCTCCCTGGCAGTGTTCAAGGCCAGGTTGGACTTGGCTTTGAACAACCTGGTCTAGTGGAAGGTGTCCTTGTCCATGTCAGGGAGGTCGAAACTAGATGGTCTTGAAGATGCCTTCCAACCCAAACCATTCTATGATTCTGTGTTGTAATGCTGCTGTGAAAATTTCCATGATTGTCAATATTTTTACATGAGTTGCACTAGCAACATCTCTAAGGTCCAGTTTCACAAGACAATGGCTTTTGTGGTGAAGCTGCCATGCTTTTGCCCCCAAGCCACACCACTGCTTGTCCCCTCAAGAGTTCCTTGTGCCCTCATGGTTCCAGATACACTTTTGCCTGACAGAACTGTTAGCTGCCATTTAAAAGGGAAGTCCTGCCCCAAGGTGTCCCTGGCCATAGACTCTTGTCCCTCCTGTGCCAATACAGACATTTGTGCATGATTTGCTGTGTTAGCAGGGTGAGAAATCTATCATCTTATGCAACTACATTCCAAGGAACAGCTACTAGCTCAAGTATAGCAGTTATTCAGAATAAGGACTGTACTTTGGATAGTGACTATGGTAAAGAAATTGGATGAAGCTGAGAGAAGCCAGTCATACTACCCTGCCTGCATGGCAGAAATGTGTATGGGGATAGATGCAAAAAGGGCAGGAGCACAAAAGTTATACAGCAGGAGTTTAAAAGGATCTTTGGAAAAGACAAACAAGCTTCAAAACAGAGATCAGCCAGTCAATGCAATAGAGAAAATGGAAAAGGCTGCAAAAATGTACTTCATTACACATTTTATTACTATGTCTATATTTATGCATCTCTTGTCTTGACAAGTGGAATAATACTATTCTGGAGTCCTGTATGAATCCTGAATGGCAGCAATATATGCAACATTTATCATGTGTCTTCAGTGACTTGAACTGAAAAACAAAGCAACCATAGTGACTGGGTTCTGGGGATAACAAGAATTGCCTAAGCTATGTGGGCATTTCAGTGGAGAATAGTCATGGTTCATCACTAGCTGTGGGGGCTTAAGGCAGTGGTCTGGATTTCCATTAAGGGATTGTAACGAACAGCCTGTTCACAGGAAACATGCCAGAAAAGTCAAGGGAAGAAAAAAATAAGGGATTCGACTGAAATGTGTAAGATGTGGACATTTGACCCACAGCGCTGGATTAAAATACAGCAGTCGGAGAAGCTGCCAAAAAAGGGAACTCTGCCAAGTTTGCAGCAGTTATGGTCTGTGTTAAAACATGTGCTGCTGATGTACTTACTCAAAAAGCATTTGTTCTAATGCCATAATTCTCATGATTTATTAGATCTACGTTTGGCTTCTCATGATCCATGTCATGGCCGTGTCATGATCCCATAGATGGCCTTGTGTTGATGAGCTGATGTGAAGGCACTGCCCAGTAATTTAGGAATCATTTTCTAGATTTTCTTTGCTAGAGGCTGACCTCAGCTGAGATCAGAACACAGTGAAGGATACTCTTTCTTTGCCTGATGGTGAATTGTAATTTTTGTTCAGATGTTTGGGTTACTTTTTTTTTTTTCCTATAAAACAGAACACATTCCAGAGACCTTCTGCCAGTAGGACACAGGCAGTCACTGCTTAAAGAGAAAGGATAGCAGGTCTGGCATACACCATCAGCATTATATCATGTGTTACTCATGTCGTGCTTCTACTTTTTTTGGCAAAAATATTCCTCTTTGTTGCTATACTGTAATTACAATAACAATAATCTCCTATATTACAGATCTCATCGGCTTACTAATGAGCATATGCAAAGGAAGATAAGCTTTACACCTGAGACACAGTGTTCCTAAGGTGATGCAGTTAGTCAGCTACAAGCAGATTCTTCTGGCTCCACCATCTAAGCCTTTATTTCTTTTTTTCCAGGCGAAACTTGGGCCCTCACCATAGTGAGTGGCAGTGCCATGACCTCTAGGCCTTGCTGAGGATGTGGCCACATAGTCTAGATGACTACTTCCTTAGAGAATTCCTGGGTCATGTAGAGTTCTGGAGCCTAATATATTTAGACCAAATCCTATCAGTTTTGCTGACAGAGTACTTTTCTTGAAATCAATGGCTGTTTTTTTTTAGCAGAAGATGAACAGAAAGACTTCACGGGTTTGGTATGTATTAAAGTGCATACTGTACTGTTAGTGTTATCTTTTCAGTGATTTATAACAAACAGGAGTTTTACACCTCCTCAACCAGGTGGCTGATTCAGCATCACATATATTATAGCCACTACTGCTGACTGTGAGGCCTGACAATAAATCCTCAAGTGAGATAGCATGAGCTAACCAAAAACTTCAGAGTTGTATATTCTTCTGGAGCTTCAAGGGACACCGACAAGTTTCACTACATCACTACAGGTTGCTGTCAGGGTGACCTTTGGCCAAATCACTCACAGAGTCATATATTAATTTGCAGAATGGGGTCAACACTGTCTGAGCTTTTGAAAAATTGTTAGCTCAAGGAAAGGGCTGATTTGACCTGGTGAAATCTTCAATAACCTCTTGGAAAAGAAACCATCAAAAAATCCAACTCTAAATGACTTAAAAGACACAGAACATTTTCCTGTGCTCCTGCTTATCAGCTGGATTTTCTAGCCCAACCACAGCACAAAATGACAATAAAATGCTGGAGAAAGTCAAAGAATAATTTGACAGCAGAGAACTAGTGAAGAACATAGGGCAGTGATGGATTTCTTCTGGGGTATGTTGTGTGCAGTGCAGAGCTTGGCAGAGCCAAGTTCACAGGATCAGAATCATCCAGGTTGGAAAAGACCTTGAACATCATCCAGTCCAACCATTTACCTATCACTGACCATTCTCAACTACACCATATCCCTCAGCGCTATGTCAATGCAACTCTTAAACACCTCCAGGGATGGGGACTCCACCACCTCCCAGGGCAGCCCATTCCAACGCCCAACAACCCCTTCTGGAAAGAAATGCTTCCTAACATCGAGTCTAAACTTCTCTGGTGCAACGTGAGGCCATTCCCTCTTGTCCTATCGCTTGTTGTTTGGTTAGACTCATCCCCAGCTCTCTGCAACCTCCTTTCAGGGAGCTGTAGAGGGTGATGAGGTCTCCCCTCAGCCTCCTCTTCTCCAGACTAAACACCCCCAGTTCCCTCAGCTGCTCCCTGTACGACCTGTGCTCCAGACCCTGCACCAGCTCCGTTGCCCTTCTCTGGACACGCTCGTCATTCAATGTCCTTTTTGTAGTGAGGGGCCCAAAACTGAACACAGGAATCGAGGGGCGGCCTCACCAGTGCCGAGTACAGGGGTCAGATCCCTTCCCTGTCCCTGCTGGCCACGCTATTGCTGACACAAGCCAGGATGCCATTGGCCTTCTTGGCCCCCTGGGCACACTGCTGGCTCCTGTTCAGCCGGCTGTCAATCAACCCCCCCAGGTCCCTCTCTGACTGGCAGCTCTCCAGCCACTCATCCCCAAGCCTGTAGCGCTGTTGGGGGTTGTTGTGGCCCAAGTGCAGCACCCAGCATTTGGCTTTATTGAAACTCCTACAGTTGGCCTTAGCCCAGCAACCCAGACTCTCATATGGTCTTCTATAAGGGCTGCAGTGTAAAGGGCTGCTATCACTTTCACAGGGATGGCATAGCTAAACAGCAGGTTACTATAGCCAGCTTCCCACAGATGTTCCTCTTCATTGCATCTGAAAGCATCAGGGCCTGTAAATTGTATGTAATGGTAGCATTCTTTTTATCTATTACACTGTAATAGATAGAAAATACAACTGATTATGGGCATTTGTTATATGACCTTTCACCTTCCTGACTTTACTTCATAATCTGTCCTGTTCCTATGTCCTCTGTGGATCATACTGAGCCAAGTTCTGCATCAGTCCTTCCTTCCTTCCTTCCTTCCTTCCTTCCTTCCTTCCAGTAATCTTCTTCTAATGCATTTTTACATTTTCTTCTGTGTTCATCACAAAAATCCTCCTTTCTCATCCTCATATGCCTATGACAACAGCTATAGCAAAGGGCCATTTCTCTTTCTCTGTATTTAAGAAAACATTTCCCTTTTGTCCTGCTCTATCACTCCTCTTTTGCCACAGGATATGGAAATACCAGTTCCAGTCATGTCTTTGACCCCAGTCAACCTATTCATCCACTGGAGTTTTATTATTACTTATACTTCTGAAGAACAGACTCAGGTGACTACTACAAACCTTTTCGTCTTTGACTTTGAAAAGTACATGTACCTCCAAGCATTTGAAAGTACAATGGTATTATTAGTTTGGGCTACAGATGACAGGTAGCATTCCACAGAACACACCCTCCTTGTTCTGCAGGCTAAACTGCGGTCCTGCCTGTAGTGCAGCAAATGAGTGTTTTGTGAACACTTTCACTAGCTGCATAGTGATAACAGTTATTTTGCTGTCTATTCCTGGGAAAAAAAACAAAACCAAAAAGCAACATAATAAGGAACTGAGATAAGAAAATCAACAGAAAACATCATGTGCCAGACATTTTTTTGCTGACACCTGTATTTTTGCTGCAGTATCTAGCTTTGTAAGGGGATTTATCCTTGACACTACACAAAATGTTTTCCACTGATACACAGACTGATAACTGAAATCAGAGTCCCTTCTGGCAATTACAGATCACAAACTCTCAATTGTCTTATCCCATAGTGTACATCCAGTTGACTTAATACAACAATGTTTGCTGATGGACAAGAAAACTGTTAAAAATGTCACGTCAAACCCACCTTCATGACACAGACAAGCCATGGCACATTAGCTGAAATTTAGATGGTGACCTCATTGCACTATCACATTTGCATTTTTGTTTAAAAAGATCCATTCTGAGGAAAAATGTAGCCTGCAAATACTATCCATGTTGGAAAAGGAGAGGATTTTTTTGGTAGCTGCATCTAAAAGACGAATAAAAGGTAAACCCTGGTGTCCTCATACAAATACTCCCTGCAGTTGTGGGAGATTAAAAAGTGCTCCCTCAATTATTTCTTCTCATTTTCCCAGGAGAACACATGCACAGACAAACACATGCTGTTTCAAAAATCCTATCAGTTCCTGCCAGCCCAATGTGTTATGTTAGCTAGAAGCATTCTGGCTCATGAAACACATTCTTGAAAGAATGCACACCCATCAAGGAGCATCTGAAACCAGAATTGTCTGCTTCAAAAGAAAATGCACCAACTGATAGAGAAACATCTTTGTGGCTCTTTGTATGTTTGTGGTATAACTTGCTGGACAAGACTTGGCAGTGGTATTGACTCATCTTACACTTGCGGTTCAGATGTTCAAGTCTTTCTGACTTCAAGGTGTGCCTTCACTCTGTCAACTCATCCAACAGGTTAACAGCATGTGAAATGTTGTTCAAACTGCTAACAACATACAATTTATAAGTGGGAGGGGATCCTTCTAATAATAGGATTTTCTTGACATGCTTAAATATTAGTTGCTCATACCTGTGATGACTGCATACTGGTTTATCTCTTTTGACGTGGAGAATGGAGATCCTAGCTCCTGGAAGCTTAGTCAGAAGTGAAGGACATAACATCAGTGTATTAGGGTGGAGAATCAAAAACTAAGAAGGGAAACAAGGAGTCTGAAAATACTTGAAAACCTGCTTGCTGACTAGCGGACAGTAGAAACAAGGCACTACACAGGCTGTTTAGAAAAGTTGTCCTTTTATATAGAGGATTTATGTGAGGAAGCAAACAAAAAATTAAAAATTAAATAGAAAAATATCTTAACCACTGTCACCATCATGCTAAAATTTCAAGTGGATGTCTCTGCTCACATAATTTTTTCTTGAGATAAATGACTCAAACTAAAAGAAAAAACAGTAAGTGAATGAAAACTGTTCAACTCTGGGCATAATGGCAAAGGCTACTCGATTTGCTTGCAGTTCTCTCAGGAATAGCCTACAGAAGAGCAATGTGAAGTCCCCAGTTGCCTGAAGAGTTAAGCTGCTGCTTGAGTCTTTGGGTTTTGATCTGCACACCAACAGACAAATGGAAACAAGACTTTACATTGCATGGGCACAGAGCTAATACCATGGTGGGACCCTCATCTTCATAAATAACAGCTGTGTGCTATATATATTCACCTTCTTTCCATGGTGTCTTACCTTCATATGCATAACCGATTTTTGTCCTTTGGAAAAGCTCACAGAAATCCCTTCATTTCACCTCAACGCTTGACACGTGTCACGGCTGCAGAAGCAGCGCGGGGGCACGCAGCCAGGCTCCTGAGGCTGTTCGGCCCATACTGCCGAGGCAGCACCGCTGTGGGTGGCAGGCCAGGCCGGCCGGGCTGTCCAGGGGAGCAGAGCTCACTGCTGCAGGGGACACAGATCCCACGGCGGCCCAGGCTCACAAAGGCACATCTTCTTTACTCTGTGGTGGAGAGGCAGCTCTGCTGCTCTGGAGCCACGAGGATACCTCTGGAGCGTGGCCTTTGCGTCAAAAAATGCCCAGCCGAAACAAGAGACCGCCCCTCATTTTGATACTTTTACTGCTATTGCTATTAGCTTATACAATAGAGCCCATCTGTTTTTCCTTTTCAGCTAAACTCATAAATAAGCATTTATTTCATGAAATAAACACAGCTAACCGACCTCAGGAAGTGATCCCTCTTTCTCACCATCAACCCGAAATCTTTTCTTTATTCCCCTGCGAGCCACCTGTACCGGGGACCAGAGGCCCGGGCCCCCCCACCAGCACCCGCGGGCCTGCGTCCG